CACCTGCATGTTGCCCCTTTCACAGACATTCAGAACTCCTCCCATAGCTCATTGCAGACGTATATTTACCACCCCGAGGATACAGGGGAAAGCACAGCGTCCTTTTCCTCTTCTCTCAAGAGTCAACACAGAATACTTCTCCCCACCAACAAGCAAGCAATCAGTTCTGCAGCGGACACCAGCTGGCGTCCTCTCCTTCGAGGCTGACGGCGGCATCTGAGCACACAGACGGAGGACTCAGCCCCCAAACCTGACCCGCACTTCCGATGCCGACTGTGTGCCCTGGTTATTTTGCCTGTGATTCTGACTGACCTGCTAAACTGGGGCTCCCACAGCCCCTCCGCGGGTTGAATTAATTTGCTAGATCAGCTTACAGAACGCAGAGAAACACATTTACTGGTTTATTACAAGGCATATTTTAAAGGACACAGAAGAACAGCCAGATGAGGAGATGCATGGGGAACATTCTGGAAGGGTCCCAAGCACAAGAGCTTCTGTCCCCACAGTGAAGGTACCCTCTAGGAACCTCCGTGTTACCAGAACCTGTCCCCTGGGTTTCTGTGGAGGCTTCATCATATAGGCATGGTTTAATCATTAGCCATTGGGGATCAGCTTTACCATCAGCCCCTGTCCCTTCCCAGAGGTCAAGGGCAGGGCTGAATACCAACCTTCTAACCCTGCCTTCTGCTTTCTGGTGACCAGCCCCCTTCCTACCCTGAAGCTGTCTAAGAGCCCCCAGACGCCTCATTAACATACAAAAAAGACATTCATCACTTTGAAGATTCCAAGGATTTGGGGAAATATGTCAGGAGACTGAACAAAAATCAAATATAATTTCACAATATCATGATGACTGAAGTAAGTAATAAAGAATTAAGCAGGTCAAGTGCAGTGGCTCATACCTATAATCCTTTGGGAGGTTGAGGTGGGCAGATCACTTAAGGCCAGGAGTTTGAGACCAGCCTGGTCAACCAGCTACTTAAAAACAATTAGCTGGATGTGGTGGCGCCTGTAGTCCCAGCCACTTGGGAAGCTGAGGCATGAGAATCAAATGAATGCAGAAGGCAGAGGTTGCAGTGAGCCAAGATCGTGCCACTGTATTCCAGCTTGGGCAACAGAGCAAGACTCTCAAAAAAAATTTTAAAGATTAAGCAGCCAAATGACATGGAAAGAAATAAATTACTATATTAGTTATATAAATATCAAACAAAGTGTTGATAGGGATTGCCTTTGGACAACAGCTGGTATTAAAGATGAATTTTTCTTTTTTATTAATTATTATTATTTGTTGAGACCGAGTTTCACTCCTGTTGCCCAGGCCAGAGTGCAATGGCGCCATCTCAGCTCACCGCAACCTCCACCTCCCGGGTTCAAGTGATTCTCCTGCCTCCGTCTCCCAAGTAGCTGGGACTACAGGTGCCCGCCACCACGCCTGACTGATTTTTGTACTTTTAGTAGGGATGGGGTTTCACTGTGTCGGCTAGGCTGGTCTCGAACTCCTGACCTCATGATCCGCTTCTGCCTCCCAAAGTGCTGGGATTACAGGCGTGAGCCCCGCGCCTGGCCTCCTTTTTTAAAATACATTTTGATACGGAAATGTGTGCATCACCCTTGCGTAGGGGCTACGCTAATCTCTGTATCATTCTGGTTTTAGTATGTATGCTGCCATAGCAAGCACTAATGTTCTTAATTTCAAAATTCTCTTTAATACACATATGCTTGCTTATAAACAGAAAGAGAAAAAAGCTATGTTCAACACGTTAATTGAACAAGTTACCAAACGGTCTGTGTACAAATCCTGGCCTGGGTTTGTTATTTCTAAATCTCAGTCAAAGATTTCACTTGGGCAAGGAGAAATTTAACTCAGACTAGCTTAAGCAAACAAAGAAACAAAAAAGGACTTTATTAGTTCCATAGCTCTGAGCCCAGGCTACGAACGACACCCTTCGGCCTTAGCCCCTGCGGCCCTGGCCAGGCTCACCTGTCCGGTCTGGTTTCCTCCTCAGTCACGTGGAGCGTGCAGGCAAGATGGAGGTGGTGCTATGGGAAAGGAGTCCCAATCCAGACCCCAAAAGAGGGTACTTGGATCTCGCTCAAGAAGGAATTCGAGGCAACTCCATAAAGGGAAAGCAAGTTTATTAGGAAAGTAAAGGAATAAAGAATGGCCACTCCATAGGCAGAGCGGTCCCAAGGGCTGCTGGCTGCCCGTTTTTATGGTTATTTCTTGATTAAACGCTAAACGGGTGGATTATTCATAAGCTTTCGGGAAAGGGATGGGCAATTCCCAGAACTGAGGGTTCCTCCCCTTTTTAGAACATTTAGGGTAACTTCCATTGCCACGGCATCTGTAAGCTGTCCTGGCGCTGGTGGGAGTGTGTTTTAGCATGTTAACACATTATAATTAGCATGTAATGAGCTGTGAGGACGACCAGGGGTCACTCCCATCACCATCTTGGTTTTGATGGGTTTCCAGGCTTCTTTATTTCCACTGTTTGTTTTTGAGATGGTGTCTTGCTCTGTTGCCCAGGTCTCAGCTCACTGCAGCCTCCACCTCCTGGGCTCAAGCGATTCTCCTGCCTCAGCCTCCTGAATGGCTGGGACTACAGGCATGCTTTACCACACCAGGCTAATTTTTGCATTTTTAGTTGAGATGGGGTTCACTATTTTGGCCAGGCTGGTCTCGAACTCCTGGCATCAGGTGATCCATCTGCCTTGGCCTCCCAAAGCGCTGGGATTATAGGCGTGAGCCACTGCGCCTGGGCCTGGCTTCTTTAAAGCAGCCTGTTTTGTCAGCAAGGTCTTTGGGACCTGTATCTTGTGCCAACCTCCTATTTCATCCTGCTGTGACTAACCATGCCCAACCTCCTGGGAATGCAGCCCAGCAGGTCTCAGCCTCATGTTACCCAGATCCTGTTCAAGATGGAGTTGCTCTGGTTCAAATGCCTCTGACAGGCTGTGTCCCCAACCCTCGACCCCCCTGTGAGGCAGGCCTTACAGCGGCCTTGTGGCTGGCAAGGAAGTCAGGTCCTCAGCCCCCAGCAGAGTCATCTACACTGGGATTCTGCCATGGGCTTTGTCTACACTGATGGAAGAACTCCTGGAAGGACTCAGAGTGGAAATCGGGGCGGGGGTGGAATAACGGTGATTTTTCTTTTCTTCATGTTTTCCTGTATTTTCTACAGTGAGCATGTGTCATTTTTCCACGATTATTAACGTACTTCCTGAATGGTGACCATGTGCTCAGCACTCCGCTGCTTGCTTTAGACCCTAAAACCTACTCCCAGCATCCCCATGGGGCATGAATGCCTGCCACCTTCATTCTGTAGCTGAGGACACTGACGCATGGTGGAGAGGGGCCCAGAGTCACCGGTGGCCGGCTCCAAAAAGCCTTACTCCTTAATGAGTTTTGCTTCAATCAGAAGAAAGGCAAAGCTATTTCCATTCCCCCAAAGAATAAAGGCCCCAAGTTCCCAAGAAAACGTCCCCGTCCCCTTCCCCCGGTACAAAGAAGGCTCCCAACCTCATGGTGACATCCCTGCTGGTGTCTTCCTCCCGGTGCAGTCTTCAGTGCCCCTGCTGGGGCTGGCAGTGGGCATGTGTGGAGGCTGATTTTTCTCTGACACCCCGATGCAAGTGGAATGTCTGCCTGGAAATGTGGCCGCCCCTGCTGCTCCTGTGAAAACAGCCCAGGCGCTCTGTCCCTTAGGCACTGCGGTTGCCTCCCCTCCACACAGCTGTCCGATGTGTCACTGGTTGAAAGTCACCGAGGCCTATCCCCTGGCATTTCACACAATAGGCAGCACGAAGATCCCACCTGCAGGCTCCAGGCAGCCATGACAGAGGTGGAGAAAGGACAGGGCAAAGGCGAAGGCTCCCGGCTGGGGTCTCTGACCAGCCCTCACCTTGTCAAATGCTGCCCTGCTCTGCGGAAGCCCCAGACGGAGCAGGGCCGGCCCATCCCCTATGCACAGTTCAGAGGAGAAGGCCCAAATTCCACACCTTCACCAAGGATCTGGGCACAGCTTCAAGGCCGTCACTATCACCAGCTCAGCGAGGGCCCTCAGCAGAGACAGCCCTGGGGCCTCAGCCTTCCCTGTCCCTCCTGCTCACCCCCCACCCAGCTCCAGTGTCACCCCCTGGAAAATCTTTACACCCTCCCCGCGAACACACACGGGTGCCCCCGCTGGGCTTCAGTGCTGGTCCACACCCTTCCGCTACGCCCCAGCGTGGGGGTTCGCCAAGCACACAAAGCCACATTTCCCCCAGGTCAGCACTCCAGCTGAAGGGAGAGCCACCACGCACTGCTGGGAGTTCTCAGCTTCGTGCATTTTCGGCACCATTAACCTCCATGGGAGGATCCCAAAGTCCTAAGTGCCACTACAGCCCAGGAGGGTGGGATCCCCCACCCTGCCACAGCACCAGCCTCTCGCCGGCCCTCCTCCCTGAGAGGGCACCAGCTTCTGTGGGGCCTGACACAGACTCTCACGCCGGAGGCCGTCACCACATCCCAGGCGCAAGCTGGAGCCCTGGCCGCCAGCCTTGACTGCAGCTCATGGGAGCCGCCCCTTTCAAGGGCAGATAGATATGCCTGGAGAAAAGAGAAACTGGCCACAAACACACAAACCTCAGGCAGGTAGGAATCTTGGTGAGGGACGCAAGGCAACAGGACAGCCATCAGGAGATGCCAAAATGCCAGTGGGCTCGGGCTGTCTGGCACCCAGGCCCTGGGGAAAGGGAGGCCCAGCCGCCCCCTCTCTTCCTGCATCACTGGCCGAGTGTTGAGACCACATCTGGGGAGGCCTGGGGCACCGGAGGGCCAGCAGACTCGTCATCCATTCCTAAGCCCCCTCTGGCCTCTCCCTGGGCACAGGGAAAGCTGACGCCCCAGTGCAAGGGGCCCACACCTGGGCGTGTCTGGGGCCTCAGGGGTACTCCTGGGGCTTTTTCTTCAATCCAGCTTTAGTGCAAAGACAACTCAGGTATTAGTGTAGAAAGGTCTGTACACTCCTAAGGCACGTTTGATTTAGATGTGTTTATTACAATTCCAGTTGGGACAAGATGCTAACACGTGCTCCTTCCAGGTGCCAGGGTCTGCTCTGTGGTCTGCACAGGGATGGTCAGTGTCGCTTGGGTGCCACTTCCTTCTCACTGGAGACCACGGTCAGGCAGCCCTACAACACACAGCGGCGGCCTCAGGCACATGGCGGACGCGATGGCTTCACTTGCCTTAAGTGCAGACAACCATTTAAAAACTTTTGCTGGGGGTGCCAGTTTTTTTTTTTTTTTTTTTTTTTAAAGATGGGGTTTCACCATGAAGGCCAGGCTGGTCTTGAACTCCTGACCTCAGGTGATCCACCCACCTCAGCCTCCCAAAGTGCTAGGATTACAGGCATGAGCCACCGCGCCTGGCCCTTTTTTGGTTTTCTTTTGAGACAGTGTTTCACTCCGTTGCCCAGGCTGGAGTGCAATGGCGTGATCTCGGCAAACTGCAACCTCCGCCTCCCAGGTTCAAGCGATTCTCCTGCCCCAGCCTCCCAAGTAGCTAAGACCACAGGCACATGCCACCATGCTCAGCTAATTGTATTTTGTGGAAGAGATGGGGTTTGGCCAGGCTGGTCTCGAACTCCTGATCTCAAGTGATCCTCCCAGCTTGGCCTCGCAAAGTGCTGAAATTACAGGCGTGAACCACCGCACCCAGCCAGGGGGGTGCTAATTTTAAGGCAGGCAAAAACCTGAAAAATGTTCTCCTTATTTACTTCATGATGTGGCAGGTGTTTAGTTCACATGTGTGGAAAATGCCTCAGGGAAGCTCTGTATTTGCCAGGCCTGAGGCATGAACGTCACAGGCTCTCTGGCTGCCCCACTGAAAAGCAGCACGGGGAGAATCGGCTTCGCTCTGTGCCATCAGATTCTCTCAAGAGCAGCTTTTTCCCAAAACATGAGAACCTGGGTTCCATCTCCAAGTGTGGACACTGGGGCAGGTGCCCAGGGAGATGCATTTCCTTGCGTGGCTGGCTACGCACCCAGAGTCAGGGAGTTCACACCTAACCCTTAGTTCTCAGAGGAAAGGGAGCCATGGGAAATGCCACTTGGAAATATTTGCCATCCAAGACTTACTTTTCTTTCTTTCTTCTTTTCTTCGAGATGTAGTCTCACTATCGCCCAGGCTGGGGTGTGGTGGTGCAGTCTCGGCTCACCGCAATCTCTGCCTTCCAGGTTCACGTGATTCCCCTGCCTCAGGCTCCCACGTAGCTGGGATTACAGGCACACACCCCCATGCCTTGCTAATTTTTTATATTTAGTAGAGACAGTGTTTCACCAGGTTGGCCGGGATGGTCTTGATCTACTGACCTCATGATCTACCCGCCTTGGCCTCCCAAAGTGCTGGGATTACAGGCGTGAGCCACCACGCCCGACCTTTTTTTTTTTTTTTTTTTTTTTTTTTTTGAGAAGGAGTTTCACTCATGCTGCCCAGAGTGGAGTACAGCAATCTTGGCTCACTGTAACCTCCGCCTCCCAAATTCAAGTGATTCTCCTGCCTCAGCCTCCCAAAGTGCTGGGATTACAGGTGTGAGCCACCATGCCTGGCCTATTTTTCATATCTAAAGAAAGCTGGATTAGAATGGTAGTGGCCAAGCTCTGAATAAACCCCTGAGAACACACAGGGTGCAAATTGGGATGGCCCACGAATCTGAGGAGAGACTTCGCATGGGAAAAAGGCGTGTCTGCATTTAATGCTACTTCAGAAAGTCTCTCCAAAGGATTCCATTTCTTTCTTCTTCTTTTTTTGAGACACAGTCTTGCTCTGTTGCCCAGGCTGGAGTGCAGTGGCACAATCTTGGCTCACTGCAACCTCCGCCTCCCAGGTTCAAATAATTCTCCTGCCTCCCAAGTAGCTGGGACCACAGACATGCACCACCACACCCGGATAATTTTGTATTTTTAGTTGAGACGGGGTTTCACCATGTTGACCAGGCTAGTCTCAAACTCCTGACCTCAGGTGATCCACCTGCCTCAGCCTCCCAAAGTGCCGGGATTACAGGCCTGAGACACCGCGCCCGGCCAGGATTCCATTTTCAAAGGGAATCTGCTTTCCCCATCAGTGGGCAAAGGAGGCAAGAGGCTGGGAGGCAGAGCAAGGAGAGAGGCACGCATGGCTGCCGTGTGAGGAAGGTTCCACAAGATGCTGATTTCGGAGCTCTGCGTAAAGCGTTTTGTCATCAACACGGGAACCTGTTTGTGACTGCTGGAAGGCAGTCCTGTTTTGGATCAGAACAGTCTTCAAGCCAGCAAGAGCCCACATCCTGCGGACGTTCTCATTTGCTTGGCTGGCCTCCACCTAGCACCGTGTGGCTCTCGAACTGTGTAAAACTGCTTGTAGGAGCCGTTGCAAACAGAAAAGTACCATGTTTTTACGTTGGTAGCAAATCGTTTCTTCTTTTCACACACACACATATATATTAGTTTTTAAGCATCTTTACCCCTCTTCTGAAGAGTCTACAGAAGAAGCCTCTCTTTGGTCTGGAAACCGGGGTATGTGTGTCCTCTTTTAGATCTAATGACAAAGCTTCCTCACTTTCACTTTTGTTGATGTCTCTGAAACACCCAGATTCGATCATCTGCAAGCACAGAACAGGACAGGGGAGCCGCAGAGAGGCTTACAGGTCATCTGGTGTCCCTGGCGCCAGCAGCTGCTGCCCAGCCCCATGCGGGGACCCCTCTCCTGGGTTCCTCGTACCCTGCTTCCTTACCTCTTCTTGGAATAGTAACATTGTCTCCTCTCCCCTTGTCTCTGAGTGTACCCCCAAAGCAGGTAACTACCATGGAAACCCTGGCTGGCAACCGGCCCTGCTTAGGGAGCAGGGCTGAGGGGGGCAGACAAGCCCCGGTCAGACCCCAAATAGCTGCCTCCTGTGCACTTCTTGTCCCTGGGACCAGGGGCAGTGGCTATGCTTCTGGACAGCTGCTGACACAGTCCCTGGCTTGCCCATGGTCTAGTCCCATGGTCAAAAGTCTCACACAACTGTTTTTTTCTTGAGACGAAGTCTCGCTCTGTTGCCCAAGCTGGAGTGCAGTGGCACGGTCTCAGCTCACTGCAACCTCTGCCTCCCTGGTTCAAGAGATTCTCCTGCCTCAGCCTCCTGAGTAGCTGGGACTACAGGCATGCACCACCACGCCCAGCTAATTTGCGTATTTTCAGTAGAGACGGGTTTCACTATGTTGGCCAGGCCGGTCTCAGACTCCTGACCTTGTGATCTGCCCACCTTGGCCTCCCAAAATGCTGGGATTATAGGCGTGAGCCACCACACTGGGCTGTCTTATACAATTTTACTTCCCAAATTCACATGCATGCGCACGTGCACACACACACACGCACACGCACACACACACACACGCACGCACACACACACACACACACACACACACACACACTTTTCCTTGGTCATTGCTGGAGCCAGCGGGAGCCTGCGGTTCTAGGAGGGCAGTACCTCATTCTGCCAGGGGATGGAGACACACCCTGTGGCAAACTGAGCGTAGAACTCGTCGTCTGTGGCGTCCAGGCAGACCCCTTTCACCGTAGAGAACTGCTCGATCTCCAGGACGTCCTTGCAGTAAACGGCACGTGGCTGTGCAGCAGGAACAGAGGAAGCAGAGGAAGCGTCAGCCTCCGACTCCGACTTACTACAGCGATCCTCAGCCCTCAGTTACAAAGAATGAAACGCCCACCAAACTGGGCGGAAATGCCGCCACTCCTCCTCTCTCCATGTCTTTGCCAGCGCCCCCCCACCACTTGAGGCATTTTCTAAATGGGAGTGTGTGTCCTCTGAAGAGGTGGTTCCCAAGCTTTTAGTGTCAGCAGTCCTGTGGCACTGCCTGTGCCAGGTCCCCGCGTGGCTCTGGCTCTCCACCCGCCCCCTTCTCTTTCTCACACACACACACAGACACACCCTCGTCCTGAGTGCCACGCCCTTCTGTTTTCCGCAGTGGAAAATGGATTGCAAACAAAGCCCAGGGATGCAGGACAGGATGGAGAACACGTATTGGAAGATGCAGCGCAGAACCGGAGGTGTGGACAGTGATGGAGGCCACCGTGGCGGGATCCCTTAGTGACAATTCTCGCCCCTGCCTCCCACACTCTGTGTGCTCCTGGCAAAGCGCCTGCAGAAAGCCTGAGGAACAGTGGCATTTCCCACTTCCCGTCCTCCTCCGGGTTCACTGAGTGGCCTCCAAGGCTGCAAGGGGCCTCGGCCCTCTGCTCAGCTCCCTGGCTTGGCAGGCCCTTCCTCTGGGACAGGACCCCAGCTTGCAGCTCCTATCCTGGCACTGCTGTCTTCAGGGGCAAGGGGTCAGGCAGGCAGGAGGGCGCACCAAGGCCGGGCCCCTGCCTGCCTTCAGTACAGTCGCTTGCACTTTCAGGGCAAAGGAACAAAAAGGAGGAACTCGGCAGCTGTGGGACCCTCATCTGCTCACGCCGGGGCGCCCGCAGTTCTGAGGACACTTTCCGCCCAGGACTTGTGCACTACGGTGAGTTACAGCAAAGCAGTGATGTGCTGAAGGCCACGGTCAGCACTGCTCTTCGTTCATTCACCCCCACAAGGTGAGGAAGTGGAAGTGAACCGGCAGGCCCCGCCCCTAGGGGACAGTCCACAGAAAGGTGTGCCAGCAGCACGCTTACGAGGAGGCACAGCGACCACTTCAGGGTCCTCAGTATGGGGCCAGGCCACAGTCCCAGGACCTTATGAGAAGCAGACGAAGGAAGCAGGCCCTCACGGCTGTGGGAATCACAGGAACGAGAGGGAAAGCCAGCCCTGAGACCAGAAAGGGGACACTAGTGGTCAGGCACCGTGGTTCATGCCTGGAATCCCAGCATTTTGGGAAGTCAAGGCAGGAGGATCTCTTGCGGCCAGGAGTTCAAAAGCAGCCTGGACAACATAGGGAGACCCCCATCTCTAGAAAAAAATTAAAAATTAGCTGGGTGGCGTGTGGTCGCAGCCACTTGGGGGGCTCCAGCAGCAGTGAGGCGGACAGTGACACCAGGCCAGGAGCCAGGGCCCAGTGAGTGGCCACAGGACACTGGGGTGGTGGGGGAGGGAAGAGCCCAGTAGGACAGGCACCATGAGCACAAGCCACATGCTGATGTAGCTGGTGATTTAATCTGTCGTAAAGCAAACAAAAAGCCACTACGGCCGGGTGCGGTGGCTCACGCGCATCATCTCAGCAGCATGGGAGGCCAAGGCAGAGGACCACTTGAGGCCAGGAGTTCAAGACCAGCCTGAGCAACACAGTGAGACCCCCAACTCTATTTAAAAAAAAGAAAGAGAGGCCGGGTACGGTGGTCATGCCTATAATTCCGGTACTCTGGGAGGCCAAGGCGGGCCGATTGCCTGAACTCAGGAGTTCGAGACCAGCCTGTGAAACCCTGTCTCTACTAAGATACAAAAAATTAGCCAGGCGTGGCGGCATGCGCTTGTAGTCCCAGCTACTCAGGAGGCTGAGACAGGAGAACTACTTGAACCCAGAGGCAGAGGTTGCAGTAAGCCGAGATCACGCCACTGTACTCCAGCCTGGGTGGCAGAGCGAGACTCTGTCTCAAATAAAACAAGAAAGAAAGAAAGAGAAAAACCGTGCTGTACAGATCACCGTTCCTGGGGCCCGTTCGTCCCGGCAATGCACTTACATCAGGACAGAAAGGGGGTTCCAGCATGTTTGCCTCCAGCCTGCTGAAGTTGATATCTTTGAACACGGGGTGCTGCTTCACCCCTGCTGCTCCCTCGCCCCTGCAGCCCAGACGCTTGCTTGGATTCTTGGTGAGTAACTGCAAGAGGCAGAGATGGAATCCACTTAAGCCTCCGGGATAAAAATGAAACCCCAAACTCCCCTCCATAATAGTAAGCAAAGGACTCGGGAGGGCAGAGAGCAGGCACATCTAAACCAGTAATTTCAAAGCATCAACCAGGCTTCACTCATCGAACTATTTTTTGCTTTGCAAAGGAGTAGGGCTACGGTTTTGCCTTTGAGCTACCAATAAATAAGGGGGTGGCTGTGTTATTCCTTCGGTTAAAAACATTAATCATAAGCATTTGGGGATTTTTAAAAAGGAAACAGAAACTATTGCAAGTTTCAGAAATGCCACTAAGGACCTCAGATGAGGCAAACACTTAGCAAACCTAGTTCTAAAAATATAGTCTTAATATTTTGGTATTCCAGTATATTCTTAAAATTACCAGAAAGCACCTCTTTAGAAAGTATTCCTTACATACATATTTACAATCATCACAAAGTCAAATAAGCCTTCCTCCACAATTATGACCAATCGGAAAAAGCCGGGCTGTGCCCAAAAGGAAAACATGGAAGGCCTGGAGCCTGGCATGTAACCTAGGGCAGGGCTGGGGACCACAGCCCACCCGCCACATGCACCAGCTGCCTGGCTTCATCAACAAGGCTTTGTCGCACCGCCCTTTGGCACTGCAGCGGCTGAGCTGAATAGCTGTAAGAGAGACCTGCAAAGTCTAAACACCATTTGCCGTCTGGCCGTACAGAAAAGTATGCTGACCCCTGGCCAAGCCAAAGTCCCAAAGACCAGAAAGCATCCCAGTCTGCGCCTCCGTCTCCCACCTCGCTCTCAGCTCCTTGCTGGGCTGTGCCTGTCCCACGTTGTGTCTACGAAGCTCTTTGCCTGGCTGAGTCCTGCTCAGTTCTTCAGGTTTCAGCTTCCTGGCCCCCCTCCCTGCGCTAGATTAGGCTCCCCAACTTTTTTTTCTACAGCCTAAGGCCATCCTCCCCCTCTCCTTGATGACAAGTCTCACAACTGCTGAGAATGAGTCATTTGGACGCGCCATTATTGCCAGGCTGTCCTGCTAGACTCAAAGCTTCCTGAAGCTGGGGGCTGTGTGACTCCTGCCCACTGTGGGACCCCAGCACCAAGCCAGAGCAGATGCTCAGTAAGAGTTGCTCAGTGCATTTATTCTTTGCAAGCTTTATTAATTTAAAACACATCTGAAGGCCAGTTGCAGTGTCTCACGCCTGTAATCCCAGCACTTTGGGAGGCTGAGGCGGGTGGATCACCTGAGGTCAGGAGATGGCGACTGGCCTGGCCAACATGGTGAAACCCTGTCTCTACTAAAAATACAACAATTAGCCGGGTGTGGTGGCGCGTGCCTGTAGTCCAAGCTGCTTGGGAGGCTGAGGCAGGAGAATCGCTTGAACCCAGGAGCGGATGCTACAGTAAGCTGAGATGGCGCCACTGCACTCCAGCCTGGGCTAGATCTGTTTCTTGAGACTCCGTCTCAAAGAAAAAACAAGATAAATAAATAAATAAAACAGATCTGAAAATCAGATGTAATGTAAATACCATCTCTGCATCTCAGGGATTCCATGGCCCACGGTTGAGCCTGCTGCCAGCATACGCCACTCCCACTGAGGGCTGGGAGGGTCTGAAGGTGTGTGTCTCCCAGAAATCTGTAAGCTGAAACTTCATCCCCAGTGCAATAGTGTCGACAGGTGGGACCTTGCGGAGCCGATGAGGCCATGAAGGCTCTGCCCTCAAGAATGGGATTCGTGCCATCAGAAAAGAGGCCCCAGGGGGCTGGTTTGTCCTCTGCCCCGTGGGGGTGCAGTGACAAGGCCCTATCTTTATTATTATATTTTTGAAATACAGACAGTGTCTCACGTTGTTACCCAGGCTTGTCTCGAGCTCCTTGGCTCCTCCCACTTCAGCCTCCCAGAGTGTTAGGATGATAGGTATGAGCCACCATGTCCAGCCAATGCTCCATCTTCGAAGCAGAGAGCAGCCCTCGCCAATACCAAATCTGCAGGCATCTTGATCTAGGACTTCCAGCCTCCTGACTGAGATACTTTTCGGCTGTCTATGCATTACTCAGTCTAAGGGATTCTGTCATCGCAGCCTGAAGGGACTAAGGCAGGTGGCCTGACCAGGCAGCGCAGAGCAGAAGAGAGAGCTGGTCCAAACGCGGGGCTCAAGTCCAGCCACGGGCATTTGCTGTGTGATGCCGTTATAACCCATAGTTTCTTAAGAACGATTCGCTTCTCCTCTTAGTAATTATTGAGAATTATTTGCTACTAAACATTTTACTTGTATTATTTCATTTAATCCTCCCAGCAATCCTACAAGGTAGAAGTTACTCTTGTGTACATTTCATAAATGAGAAGTGGAGGCTGGGAGGGATGAGCCTGCAGTGGCAGCTGACATGCACCCGGGCCCAGCTTCAAAGCCAGCACGTCCCACAGCAGCCCTCACTCAGATGCCTCCTTTCCCAGCGCCTCCACCACCACGATGTCGTCTGGAAAGCCCCGAGCCCTGGTTTCCAGCCGTTTATCACACCCACTGCATCCAGCTTCATGTTTCTTCCCTCCCCCAGCCACCAGAACAAGCATGCATTCTGCTCTCCACTGCAGCCACTTCTGTGCTTGCTTTAGGCCTCACGTTGAACTGTGGACTCCTGGGGCAGGCTCTGTTTCCAGTGCCTACATGTGCGCTCTTGCAGCCCTGCCAGTGTCCCGGGGGTAGGACAGTCAGCTCTAAGCAGAGGGAGCCACAAGCCTGTAGCGCCTGTGGCTTCATACATGGAAACGCATGAAAAGAACATCACAGTAACCCGTCTCCAGCCACTGCCAGCCCACGCAAGTTACCCAGGCACAGCTGCTAGGAATGCCCACGCCCAGGCAGAGGCCGCTGCCTGGCTGGTTGGTACTGTGGCTTCCCTTCTCCAATCTCGCCCTCCATGCCCACAGGGGCCCCCAGCTGCTCCCTCCCGGCTCACACCCCAGACTCTTGGCGAGCAAGCGCTCTGTCGACTCCACTCCAAGCAGCTTCCTCTCTGGGCGTCCTCTAGTCCTTCTCACTCTGGTCTGGAGGTGCCCGGAACTGTGGGCCATGCTCTGCCCACCCTGTTGAACCTGCCGCGCCCTGTGCCCCTTTCCTCGTCCACTGGAACCAGCTTCCATCCCGCGGTCTGTCCTCTAGCGGCCTCTCTGCATGCAGCCCGGCTCCCCTGCCTCTCTAGCTGCTGGGCCAAACCACAGCTGGGGAAATGCAGCTCCCTGCGGCCTCCGAGCCTGTGCCGTCTGGGTGTGGAGGAGCTCAGCACACAACCGCAGTCACTCCCCTTCCTTCAGGTCCACGTGGGCCCTCGATGCTGCTGAGGAAGCCCCTGCTTTCCAGGGCTTCAAAGCTCTGCTCCCCGCACACCCGCCTCCCACCTTCGCTGCCTGTTGGGCTGACCGTCTGAGAAAAGAAAGCTCCATAAGAGACCCTTCGCAGCCCTGCTCACGACTCCCCAGCTGTGCTGCGCTGGCCGGAGGAAGTGCCCACATGCTCCCGTGCACCAGCTGGCTGCCGCCGACCTCCCCGCCGCCGCAAGGACTTGGCTCCAGCGAGGGCCCCCTTCCCTCCAGCCCATCTTGGAGTCAGCCTAAAGTCTTTTCCACCACCTGCCTTCAGGATGCATCCTGAATCTGACAGTGGTCATCTTCCATCGCTTCTCACACCTGCTGTGCCACCACCAAGGTCTGTGTCACCTGCACTCTCACCTGAATGGCTGCAAAGCCCCCAACAGCCTCCCTCCTTCCTGTCCATTAATTCTCTCCCAGCAGCCCAAGCCCAGCCCCTTCACATCACTCTTCTCAGAGCCCTGCGATGGCTTCATGGCCACCAGGGAACGCAACACTCGAGGCTCGACAGCGACAGGTGACAGGTGGCTCGCACAGCCTGGGCTTCCTGCTCTGTCGGGTCCCCTTCTAATCCCTCCCGCTCTTGCCAGCCGCCTGACACTGTGGCCTTCCTGTTGCAGACAACCTCTGTCTGCTCTGCCCAGCAGACCGGCCCCCTTTCTTCCCCAGAGCCTGCCGCCCTCCAGGCAGTTCCCTGTCGTCCAGAGTGCGGGTACCCCACAGCCCACACGTCTACGCATGTGTTCTGTTTCCTGTCAATTCTTGCTGGGAGGGTGGGGACTTCTGTTTCACTTGCTGCTGTTTCCCAGTGCCCAGGACAGTGCCTGGAGCATACAAGATGCTCAATACACCCTTGTCGAATGAAAGTAAATGAAAAAATGCTCAAAAAAACAATACTGGTTTAAACTAAGTAACAAAGAGACTTTCCCTCACTGAGTGTCTGGGCAGCCAGGGTGGAAACGCTGTCCAGTCCCAGAGGCAGATGGACCCTATGGCTCCCCGTTCATCCTGGGACCACGGGCCAGCTCTCCACAGCCTGGGGCTCGTCTCGTTGCTGTGACTAGTGGTACCAGTGTCAGCCTCAGCGGCCCTTAGCACAGTTAAGGTGCTGCCCGCCCAACACCAGGCCCAGAGCCAGGCACACATCAGGCCCTCAGGTCAGTGTCTCTGGGACTTGAATCCCTGGCAGGTGGCTAAACCCTTACTGTCTCAAAATACATGAAAGATTAGTTTTATGTCTAACTTCATATAAAATTGGTCAATGAAACACAGCTCAGCTGTTTCCTGAAAACTGAATTAGTAGCCTTGGTACCACTCCTCCCTTTCAAAAGCATTGTTTGAGAAATTAAACCATGAATTTTACTCTGTTTTGCTCTAATTGAAACCCAATTAAGTAATTTCCAGATCATATCTGGAGACTTTTCTTGCCAGCCCTTTATGTCTGAACTGAGATGAAATCCCAGTGGCAGGAGCAAGAGGAAGAAGGCAGGTAGAAATGAATGCTCCAGGGCATGGGAGTCCTCCCTGCTGGGCCAGGAGGCAGGTAGATGTGAGCGCTCCAGGGCATGGGAGTCCTCCCTGCTGGGCCAGGAGGCAGGTAGATGTGAGCGCTCCAGGGCACGGGAGTCCTCCCTGATGGGCCAGGAGGCAGGTAGATGTGAGTGCCCCAGGGCACAGGAGTCCTCCCTGCTGGGCCAGGAGGGAGGTGGACCTGAGCCTCCTGAACACCCGAGTCCTCCCAGCTGGGCCAGGAGGCAGGTCGATGTGAGTGCTCCTGAACACCCGAGTCCTCCCAGCTGGGTCAGGAGGGAGGTGGACCTGAGCCTCCTGAACACCCGTGTCCTCCCAG